CAGGTCGGGGTGCCCTTTATTCCCATTGGTTTTCCTTCTCTAATTATCAGCTCATTGAAATATAGCGCCATTTGAATTCAAAAGATTATAAAGAAACTGTTTAATGTTTTACGCCTGAGCGACACAATGTGGGTCATTTAGAAGAAGGGCTGCTTTGATTGCATCTCCCAGAGCAGCAGCAGCAGAAGCAGCAGAAGAAGAAGCAACAGTAGCAGAAGAAGAAGAAAGAAGAAGAAGAAGAAGAAGAAGAAGAAGAAGAAGAAGAAGAAGAAGAAGAAGATTATCTCTTACATTCAAATAATGGTGGATGTTAAGGGGACAGTGCGTATACGCTTTGTTTGTTTTATATTGGCGGAAAAGAGTTGTTGGTGTTTGCTTGCGGAGCAATGCGAATGAATAAACGCTGCTTATTGACACAAGACCCATCATCATCATCAAGAACCAGATCTGCGGCAGATATCAGCGATCTTGGTTCTTCATTCATTCCTTTGCTCGGACGCTCTTTAAAAAGCTACGTTATCCTGATCTGTCCCCGTCACCCATCTGTTTAGGTTCTCTAAGTAGGTTGCTTTGGGCCTATCCCTGCCTCGTTTGCTTTCAATTTTGACAGTGGGAGATAGTGTTCAAGACCTTCATGTTTATTCAGGTGTCCCAAAAATGCATTATTTGTCTTTTCCTTATAGTTTTTAACAGTGAAAGTTTTAACACAAGACTACCTCGGTAAATTATATTGACACTCGTACAAGCTGCTCAGAGGAGCACCAGCCATGACAACAGTATGGGTATTTCGATGACATCAGGACACAGATTGCAACCATTCCCCAAAAAATTATCGCAAATACACAGACAGGCGTACAAAGGTATCAGCCTCCCAGCCCCTCCGCCCTTGAAAAATAACGACAATAACAAACAAACCACTAAATAGATAAATAGGTTAATTAATAAATACATATTTAAATAGATAAATAAACCAAAAGATATATTGGTAATGAATAAATAAATAAGAAAATAAGTAAATAAATAAGTGAAAGTTAGTAAATAAATCAATCTAATATAAATAAGTAAATAAATAAATAATAAAAGTGGAAAACCACATTAGTTATGTTTCAAGAGAGAAATATTTTTGTAATTACATGCCATCGGAGCGGTATTTTAAGGGGAGAATATACCTAGATTAATAATTTGTTCTCACATTCTGTCATTGAATGCCATTTATAAAAGATACACTTTATAACAAAAAGTTATTTGTTTAGGAGAAAAAAGAATAATTAATTCTCTTCCCACAGCAAGTGTGATCCGTAGCCAGAGTGACTGTCTTTTTGTTTATGTGTTCTTTGTGAGATTACAAAAGTATATTATGTATTTGAAAGAATTGTTGTATGTAGGATTTTTTTTCCTTTGGTAAGTATTTAACGTACGCACTTGCAAATGCACATGGTCATATCAGTGCGCGGGACACATTAATTAACCATTTTCAGAAAAGTAGGAATTAATTTGGAATTTTGCCCAGGTGGCGACCGAAGTCTACTCTTACGGATTTTAGGACCACCAAGGGATCTCTGATGTGTGTATCTTCCACACAGGACCCCCGAGATCTCCCCCCCCCCCCAAATCCGTGAAGGCAAGGCGTTAGATCTCACATAAACCTAAGATCAGGGGGAAGATGGCGACGAAAGCAGACGACATAACACGGTGGGAGGACAGGAAAGGAGGCAAAAGGGGAAAGGGGGGGGGGGAGTAGGGAAGAAAATCTTCCGTCTCTGTCAGGTTTTGAATCCGGTACCTATGCAATGAGACGCTAACACCACACCTCTAGACCATGAGAGCCCCCGTACGTTGAATGACCAGTATGTGTGAAGCGTTTACAACAATAAAATTTTTTATTTCACTAGTGTGAAGCGCCCAGAGCCACCAGGGAGTGAGCGCTCTAAAAATGATGTTTGATGATAATGATGAAGATGACGATGATGATGAAGATGATGAGGATGATGTTGACATCTCCACTGTTTTTTGCCAATTTGCTTTCTACGATGATGATGATGATGATGATGATGATGATGATGATGATGATGATGATGATGA